TCAGCTCTTCAGCTCAAGGCTAGCACTCTACCACTTGAGCCACAGTGCCACTTCTGGCTTTTTTCTTTTTGCTTATGTGGTGCTGAGGAATCGAACTCAGAGCCTCAGGCATGCAAGGCAAGCCCTCTACCACTGAGCCACCTTCCCAGCCCCGAGCATTTTTTTTTTGAGACAGGGCCTTTGTAGCTCAGGTTTGCCTTAAACTCATCATCCTCCTACATCAACCTTATGAGTGTTGAGATTATAGGAATGTACTACCTTTCTTGGCAGTGTGTGTTTTTAGAGTGATTGTTAGTCATGATGATGCCCCATAGAAACTGCAAGATAAGAGGTACAACTTTGGAGGCAGAAAATTATTAAGGAAAGTCTTTTGGAGAAGCTGCATTAGATGATTATATTAGTCTTGGGGATGTTTCTCACCACTTCTCAGCAGTTTACTGACAAGACAAAGGTTGATAACTTGTACTTAATCTGGGTGGGGCTTCTATTGGGGCTGGTTATGCACTAAAACCAGCTTCCTATGGCTTGAATCTCTTACTGGGAGACAATATTTTAGTGTTGTCACTGTATTTTACTGTTTTCTATAGCAATCTGTAGATTTTACGTGCCTTCATTCTGGGTCTGGTAGCTCTTTTCAGACAACTGAACCCAGTTTAACTGTTGCTGTCAGCACATAGATTACTAGTGATCTGTGCAGCTAAAATCTGCAAAGTCTGTCTGGAACCTGGTTCCCAGGTGTGCATGACAGGCCCTCTTCTCAAATGCTTGAATGTGGAGACCAGTGGTCTTTGGGGTTTTCAAGGGCTAATAACATGGTCAGGGACATGGTTAATCTTTCTTAACAGCTTTTCTGGGAGAAGATGCTCATTTCTTCACTGCACTAATAACCCATTGTCTGGGTGTACCAGTTTCTTCTTCTTTTTTTTTGGTCAGTCATGGGGTTTGAACTCTGGGGCTAGGTACTGTCCCTGAGCTCTTCAGCTTAAGGAGAGTGCCCTACCACTTGAGTCACAGCACTACTTCCAGTTTTCTGGTGTTTAATTGGAGATGAGTCTCATGGACTTTTCTGCCTGGGCTGGCTTTGAACCACTATTCTCAGATGTCAGCCTCCTGAGTAGCTACTAGGATTACAGGAGTGAGCTACCAGTACCTGACATTTATTCACTTTTATGAACACAACAGAATCTTGTGTTGAAATCTTATATTTGGGAGTCTAAAGCATGTAGAATGCATATTATGAAAAATGTGAGACTTGTCAGAATATTTAATGTAAATATATGTTCAAGTTCATTCTATAAAATGTGTAAGAGAAACACGTTTAGGACTGAAAAAGTACTCAGTTAAAGTCTAAGAAGCGTATCTGAAAACAAATGAAATTAAAATATCCCCACAGAAAGCCACTATGCCAGTCTCTGTGAAGATCTTGTAAGAAAAGAATTTCTCCCCCTTCCTCCCATATTGTATGAATAATATAGGTATGAGGAACACAAAACATTTCCTAGAAGGCCAACTCTGCTTTGTCCTTAAAGGAGCTGGCAACAGTTTGTCCAGAATCAAATGGTTATATATGTTGGAGGCTAAACTTAAAAATTTAAGGAAAAAAATCCCTATAAATCTCATTTAGCTTCTAAGTTAAAAATCAACCCTTCCAAGTTTTTACCCTCAGGTTCAGAAGTAGCTATTAGTCCAGGAGAGGGATGTTACTTTCATTTAAAACAAAAACACACAAGAAACCTCCAAGGGTTCTTCATTCAGAATTTACTTGCTAGTACGTATTGGCATTTATCATGTTTAAAATCCTATGGACAAATTACCCTACTATTACTGAAATTTTAATATGCCAGACAACAGTATTAAATGTAAGTTTTGCTACTTAACTGCAAGCTATTTGAGCTTTAATACTTAACCGAAATTCTAAGAAACATAAAATCATTTAGCTTTGTAAGAAGTTTTTATTTGTCATTATTCATTATTATACAATATTTAAGGATAATAAAACTGTCTTAAGATTTTTTGGAAACTTATGGCAAATTGTAAAAAGTGCAATTTAAATATACATTCAACCTGAACACTGGTCTTCATTATTTCCCACCCCACTCCCCTAAAATAAGACGTGGCTATAGAATAGTGGCTCCTGGCCCAGGGGGCTTTTAATACAGAGTGTAATTTTGGTTGTTGTGGCAGACACACAGCTCATTGTGTAAGCACAATGAACTATCCATACCAAATAGTTATAGTGCCTAAGAGTTTCTTAACTCCAGTAAAGAGGACTTAGTGCCTCTTTTGTGAGTAGCCTGTTTCCACTATAATTCTTAAACAGACTTTGCCACGATATATACTATTAAAAGATTTAACTTAACAATATCATCACCAAAACTAACAGTTGACCTTAGGTAGCAAAAATGACCAAATCATAAATATCAACTTAAATAATAGAAATTAAGCGGTTACCCATCCAAAGATCTAACCAACTGTGAACTGAAAATACTTGAAAAACAGTGCATCTATACTATGTATAGACATTTCCTGCCACTTCCCTAAATAATACATCACTATTTGTATTAGGTATTATGGATGATTTAAAGTATACACAAGGATGAAGAAATACTATGTAATTTCATAAAAGATGTGACCATTCAGATTTTGGTAAGAAGGTCCTGAAAGGATGTCTGTATATTGTTTAATTTCCTTTGAAGCTGCTCTGCCACTTTTATTTTCCTTTGTGATGCTGAGGATCTCATGGCTTCCTGTTGCTGGGCAATCAAGCTACCACTGAGCTGCCTCCCCAGTCCTTCTTTGACTGTTTGATCTGTTTAGAATATAAGTAGCAAACTAGGTACCTCTGCTCATTTTTCTGGAATATAATAATAAAATTTAATGGTATATAAACACCTGAAAAACATGAGTTTTGAAATGTTTTTTTAAGCATAAAAAATGAAGAGCACTAACCTCTTCAATGTATTTGGACAGGTTAAATTAAGTTTTGCCTTCCTTTTACAATAATCTCTCAAAAACATCTTTTGCAAATATTAGTGCATATATTTTGGTGTACGTTATAAAAAATTAAGTCAGCCAGTAGATGTTTGCCATTTAAATTTTGGTTGAAAAGTATCCATGAGTTCTCCACAAAGGAAACCCAACTTAAATTAATAACAGAAACCCCCAAAGTTTACTGGGTAAGGAAAATCTTCCATCATCATTTAGCTACACATTCACATTCTATGTATTTTCTCATGGTCAACAAACTGGTTCAAGTGATTTAAGTTATCCCACCATTTAAAGAGGAAAGTCTCTACAATAATTTTAAACCATGGCGTTATCTTAATTTCACCCCTGGCTGCTTTCTTCATAAGTTCTTCTAGTTCTTCCTTTGAAACATAACAGTAGCTTTTAATCTCATTGGGATCTGGATTCAAAGTTACATTCTTCCTCAAGAACAGGATGTAATCGATTTCATGTTCACCCCAGATACCATCAGATTGTGCCTTGTAGTGAATTCGAGTTAGATAATTAATTTCTTCTGGATGAACCTAGGATATTCAAAGAAAAATCAGTAAGAACATCAACAAAAACCAGCCTAAAATCAATTCACATTTCTATAATAACTTGAATGACAGCATTATTGTTTTAGAATTAGAACGTGTAAAACATTACTAGAAACAACATTCAAAGCTTACAATGACTTTTTTTTTTTTTGGGGGGGGGTCCTGGTTGGGGCCTGAACTCTGGGCCTGGGCGCTGTCCCTCAGCTCTTCAGCTCAAGGCTAGCACTCTACCACTTGAGCCACAGCACCACTTCTGGCTTTTTTCTTTTTGCTTATGTGGTGCTAAGGAATCGAACCCAGGGCCTCATGCATGCAAGGCAAGCGCTCTACCACTGAGCCACCTTCCCATCCCCTTACAATGACTTTTTAGAGAAAAACATTTATCATTCTAGGTAGTTGTGATACATCTGGATCTTTAAACAGGAAATTCCAAGATGGGAAAAAGGTTACTTCAAGTCACTCAGACTTTTAAGGATTCCCCCATTAAGAGAGTATCTTTGCCAGAGCTGGGAGCTCACACCTGTAATCCTAACTGCTCAGGAAACTGAGATCTGAGGATGGTGGTTTGAAGCCAGCCCAGGAAGGAAAAGTCTATGAGACTCTTATCTCCCAATTAACTAACAAAAAGCTGAAGTGGAACTGTGGCTCAAGTGGCACAGCACTAGCCTTCAGCACAAAAAAAGCTCAGGGACAGCCCCTAGGGCCTGAGTCCAAACCCCTTCCCTCACCCCCAAAATCTGCTTTGACTTGATCTGTTAGATCAACCTCATAAGCTCATTTAACAGATAAATCCATCTCAGTATTAAACAAAACTGTGACAAGTGATACTAAGAAATCAAAACTTATGCTAGAGGTCATAATATACAGACAGGTATAAGCCCCAGATCCAATGCAAATTGCTCAGAGGTAGAAGGAGTTCCAGGCCAGCACAGGTTACATAGTGAGATCTTATCAGTACAAATTTAGCCACCTGAGAAGCTAAGGCCAAGAACTCTTTAAGGCCAGGCTGGGCTACAGGACTTATATAATTTTCTTTTTGAGATACTGCCTTAACAATAGATAGAGCTGGGTGTGAAGGTACATGCCTGGAATCCTAGCATTCAGAGGTAGGTGAATTCAAGGGGAGTTCAAGACCAGCCTGGGCTGTTATATAATAAGACTCTGTCTTAAACATATCTATCAGCGTAGCTCGGTGGTAGGCCTTCAGTCACCCCCATCACCACTAAGAATAAAATTTTATAAAATAATAGTTGAATGTAGCTTTAGATTTCTGCTTCGCTGACCAATAAACCTGGTTACCTCTTCTAAGGGAATTCCTAATTCAGCTTTTAGACGCCTCTGGGCTGCTCGTCTCACACCAATGGCATCATTTTCTTCAAGTTCGCCTGGATTACTTAATGGATGACTACAACAACTATTGGTAAAACAACCTGGAAGATATTAATAGACATAGATGAACTTTTCCTTAAATACAGTCTGAAAGATCAAGTGTTTTATAAATGAGAAAAGAATAAAATGAGCATTTAGGCATTTTATGGTGTTTTTGGATTTTTTCTTTTTCTTTGGTGGTAGTGGGGCCTGAACTCAGCCCACGTGCTTTTTGGGTAAGCATTTTACCACTGGAGCAGTGTATCCAGCCCCTTTCAGATGTTTAAAGCAGTTAAGATAGGTTAACAGTACTTATTTTGTGGAAGATATTTCTTAGTTCATTATGAATGCCTCCTTCACCAAAAAGATCAAAATGCATACAATTCAGATAGTTACAATGCATTTACATATAGACACATCTATGTCCCTGTCCTTCATTGCTGTTATTAGGTTACGCTCATTGTTTAAGGTTATTTGATGCAGAATGTGACACTATGCCACATTCACAGGACTGTCCTTTATAACCTTGGGTTTCAAGAAATACAGTGTGATCAAAAGTCAAATTAAGGGCTGGAATGTGGCTTAGTGGTAGAGTGCTTGCCTTGCATGCATGAAGCCCTGGATTCTATTCCTTAGTACCACATACACAGAAAAAGCTGGAAATGGTGTTGTGGCTTAAGTGGTAGAAGCTCAGGGACAGTGCCCAGGCTGAGTTCAAGCCCCAGGACTAGCAAAAAAAAAAAGTCAAATTAAATATATAAGCAAATAAAGGTACTCATACAGATATAAAGAAATAATTCTCAAATAAATCTATCCTGGACATAAACTTACTGACCTGGAAAAGTAATTTTAGCATCTGATCTTTGCTGTAGCAGAAGCTTATTTTCAGAGTTAAATAAGAAGACACTGAATGCTCGATGCAAAAATCCTGAAAACAAAAATAGGATTAGACGTAGAACACCAGTTAGTTATATTCCCACTTCTCCCCCTGTAGCTCAGAATATGAGTAGTAACTTGTTGACACTTTAATCCAGTCCTTATCTGGGTATCAGCTGTGACAGACAAGAAAATGATGATTTGGACTGCCTTGTGCCAGGCCAAATACTCTTTCAGGGACATTGCTAGGCCATTCTCCTAAGGGAGCTGTGAAGGCACATGCTTCTCTTTATGATACTTGCTCCCCCTCTTCCTTATTAGAAACAAAGGGGAAATTGAGGTGTGGCTTGAGTGGTAGACCATCAGCTCCGATTAAGTGTAAGGCCCTGAGTTCAAACCCCACTATTGGCCCTAAAGAAATAAATTAGAGAATAAACAAAGGATTGACAACTTTGTTATGAATAAGTCTTTATAAAACCACAGGAACTGGCCGGGCGCTGGTGGCTCACACCTGTAATCCTAGCTACTCAGGAGGCTGAGATCTGAGGATCGCGGTTCAAAGCCTGCCCGGGCAGGAGAGACCGTGAGACTCCTATCTCCAATAAACCACCAGAAAACCGGAAGTGGCGCTGTAGCTCAAGTGGTAGAGCGCTTGCCTTGA